GTTACATACCTGACAGATGAGTTTCTGTGCTGGTCGTTTGTGTTGGTAGGTCCAAGCTAAATCCAGAAGTGCTTGACCATGTCCCTGACTTTGATATCCCTGGATACACTGCATACAGGCTGTTCGTAGGTCAGAAAATCCAAATTCCACAGATGCACACAGTAGTCCTGAAAACATAGCAAGGATATATTGTAAGGTGTCTGATATGTTATCATTGTGAGAGTGAATATGTGGTCAAATATGTTTTATTTTGATTTGCCATCCTGATTTTGTAGTATGTTCCTACTTTTGCTTTCAGATGAATATTCCCGTCACGCAAGGAGCACTTACCTATCACATTATTGAAATCGAGGTTAGCTTTTCCCGAGTGGACGAATTTAAGGAATGTTCAAAGTCCCTAGTCTGGTAATCAGGAATGGTGATGGTCAGTTTCCGTGAAAAGGGTGAGTGTTTGATCGTCTTGCTCTTTTTGGTTTTGTCTTGCTCCAAGGAGGACTGCTTCTGGTGTTGGAGCAGCAGCTGATATAGGTACCTGGACAAAGCAAAGAAGAAACTTAAGAATATACTCCATGAATAAATGAACCTTGAAAACAAGTAGTATGAAAGCTAAATAAGTCCAGTTGCAATTGTCATGATTTCTGGATAAAATTTGACTGCTTTGGAAAGTATCTCACCTGCTACGTGTAGCCATTATGGCCTTGACTCCATGAACAGGAGCCTTCTCCTTCCCAACGAGAAAGGTGACGTCACACATCTCTGGCATGTTGAGGATGAGGGAGAGGCTATCTTGTAAGTCTCCTGTACTTCTGAGCGTCATGACGTCATCCCGACTGGAGGATTGCGAGGTATGGGAGCGGCCGTTGAGTGGAATTGGAGCAGTTTGGGTGTTTAATCCTGGTATGGAGGCTGTGCTCGCATCTTCATCAGAGGAGTAGTCGCTTGAGTCATACCCTGACGATGTACCTTCAGCTGGAATAAGAAAACAAATCATGTATGAAATGATGGTCAATTTGGTGCAAATATCAGTTTCGCGGACTATTGTTTAGTGAACAGAAGTGTTTCCTTAAATGATACTTTAGCGAAGAACACAATAATTCATGTTGTGATCAAAGTTGTTAATGCAAGTTTCTTACCATCTGCGTCATCCCCACTGTGATCAAAAGAGTCCAAAGTCGAAATGTCCAAAAGACAAACTCGGGAATCGTAACGGTTCATGTTATTTGTTTATACGATCTAATTTATAATGAAAGAGAGAAATACTATTTGGCAAAACTCAACGAAACTACGGTGCGATGTTAGTGTCTCGATGCAATGTTTCCCCAACTGGAATGCCTTCTGCTCCTACCAGAGCAGTTTTATACTTGCATATCACAAAACAAATGACAGCTTCATTACTGCAACTACATGTCACAATTAAATCGATGTTGACACGCAGGCTTCAGCTTAGCACTTGTTGCTTAGAGGCGCGTGCTGAAGTTGTGAATGAGTTGACATCACGTGAACAATCTGGCGGTAATTGTTGCACGGTAATGATCTTTGTTGTCAAAACAACGAGACAGTATAATTAGATTGATAATGTGTTAGGGATGTTTGTTTATTTAAGGATTTGTGATTTCATGTACATTTGCCAGTGTGATATTGTGTTTTGTTCTTAAGAATGCTTTTGTAAATCCATGGTCAAAACGTGCACAAGAGTTTGTACAGACGCAACCTTAATGATACTAATGATATAGATGTGGTTGCAGTATGTTCGCGGACGCATAATATGTGAATGATTTTCACTTTGAACATAGATGTTTGGGAGGTGAGTTAGGCTTGACAGAAATCAACCAGACGTTTATCATTGATGAAATATATAAACAGCATCAAAGAAGTTCTAATATCAAACCAGTTAGAAACGTAATTGATTTGTAGTTTAGTCACTTGTCTATAGGGCAACGGTGACATGATAATGAAAAGTTCAGTGTCAAATGCTGAAAGGGTATGGCTTTATACCTGTTGCGTTCATACGCGTCCCTACAGCTTCGCCAAAGAGAATTGGCTGTGTCCCCTTTCAACGGCACAGACGTAGTGAACTGAACAATACTGTCTCGTACTTTTCATTATTATTTGCGACAAATAAAACGATTAGGTATTGAGCAGAAGTGCAGCAACTAATTTAACTGGATAAATTTGAGGCTTGGCAACAGATATATTCCAATTGAGGATTATTTGTTTAATTTTGCTAAAGTGCAATTGTACTACTGTTGAGCGTCTTTGGAGACACGCTCGTCACGCGCTACATGTTTGTGTTTGAAGTGATTGGTAATCACGTATGTGATTAACAGCGTTGGAACTTGCCATGTTGAACTAGACCTTTGTGTGGATAATTAATGTCTTTAAAACAGTGTGACTACGTTGTCATTGAGTGGACCTTAGGAGTTGTTCTGGCAACATTATTGACACTTGTCTTATTTTTCAACTTGATCTTATTTTTCAACTTTTAATCTTTCCTTGCCATATTTGGTTAGAAACAAAGGTTTTAAAACCAATTTTTGCCACAAGGATGTTTGTATAGTTAATCAAGTTGTATGTCAATTAAATGTACGTATTCTCCAGATTCATTGAGTCTTTATTACAATGTAAGCCCCATAAACGTACAATGAAAAGTTCAGTGTCAAATGCTGAAAGGGTATGGGTTTATACCTGCTGTGTTCTTGGGCCTCCCTACTGCGTCCGCCAAAGTGAATTGGCCGTGTCACCTTTCAACGGCACATACGTAGTGAACTGAACTATACTGTCTCGTACTTTTCGCCACTAATCGGGCCAAATAACCACATCATTTGGCATTGAGCAGAAATGTAGCAATTTAAGTGAAGCTTATCAACAGATATATTCCGATTGAGGAATATTTGTTAAATTGTCCTTGAGTGCAATTGTACGACTGCTGAGCGATTTTGGAGGGACGTAACACCGTCATGTGTTACATGCTTGTGTTTGAAGTGATTGGTAATCAAGTATGTGTGATTAACAACATTGCAACTTGTCATATTCAAATAGACCTTTGTGTGGATTAGTGTTTTTTAAAACGCAGTGACTCGTTATCAGTGAGTCACACCTAGGAGTTGTTTTGGCATCATTATTGACACTTGGCTTATGTTTCAACTTTTAATCATTCCTTGTCTTATTTGGTTTGAAACAAAGGTAATAAAACCAGTAATTGCCACAACAATGTTTGTGAAGTTATTCAAGTTGTAAATCAGTGAAATGTGCCCATTCTCCAGATCCATTGAGTCTTTATTAGAGTGTAATCCCCATAAACGTACATATAGGGTTTTATTAATCAACGTATGTAAGCATCCGTCATGTAAACACACATTGAATCCAATAAATCCTTTCCAAATACCCATCTGCCTTAAGCAAAACGTGTTTGTTCTAAATCGTTCTTTTATTGCCTGCAATGTATTGCGTGAAAAGATGGAAAACCCTAGAGGTTCCTGATTTCCTCTATGTCCAGCAACGTTCTGATTATGGTTAAATGCAATCACACACAAAATCGTTAGTGTTGTATTGTCTGAGTCGTATGCTTGAAATACCTGAGATCATAGCAAGTTGCTCGTAAGGACACAGTACACCTGACTGCAAGCAAATTAGCTACTTACAGTCGCATGCGTCTTTGATGTTTCTTTTGAAGGTAGCAAAGTTGCAGGTACATTTGGCAATAATGTATCCTTTGATATTGAGATAGCATATCCAGCCTGTCATCTGTAAGAGGGAGTTTTTTTTTTTGTGTGACACCTATGACCAGAGGTTAGGTGCCGGCAAACTAAGAATCTTAGTCAGGACGGATCTAGATGCTAATAAACAACCATAGGATTCCTGGTCGGCCTAATGGCGCATGGTTGCAAATAACACATTGTGACGCTCTATATTAGGCCACACGCGCATATGAAGTAAAATGAAGGCAACTGAATGATGTACTGGTGTTTTATTTTATTTGCTGAAATAATCGCTATCCCGAAAATAAGAAAATGCTATATTTATCTCAAAAAAGTGCATCATAGGAAAATACATGTTCTGCAAATACAGCCCTTGCTTTAATGTAACAGTATGAAACATTATCTTTGAAGCAAGGTGATGAACGTGCAACACTTCATTATTCATTATTGAACAAAGTAATACATAGTATGGACATGTATCGCAAGTTTTAATGGTGGTACATAGACACTATTAAGTATTATAAATACAATGATACCATTACGTTCTTGTCAGTATGATACTCTATTCTTTCACACAGAGAGCAGCTTTGAATGTACCAGTCAAGCATAATGCTTCACACTGCTGACGTCTACACATAGAGAGTCTTTGTGAATTTCTCTTCGTCCTTGTCTTGACTCCCTTCATCTTGTGACGTTTGAAAAGTCGTCATTCGACTGAGTGACGGCGACCCATGTCTTCTTCTTGGTTTCTTCTTCGCCTTTTTGGACAACAGGTTGCTGTTGTTGCATCATTCTCCCTTTGGGATTGGAGAGCATAGTGGGGACATTGATCCTACTCTTGAGAACCATGTTGCAAGGTCAGGTGCAGCTTTCATCTGGTTACACTTGACAGCTAGAACCGAGTAAAATGTCCAATATTAATACCACAATGGAGAGTATTGCATCATGTATAGTCAATGTTCTTCGCACTCTGCATTCATCAATTCCCATGAAGAACATTTGGTAACTTGAAAGTGAACCTTGGAAATTAACTACTTTCCTAATTAAAAATGAGATGTTTGTTAATAAGACCTCAATTAAAGTATGTTACATACCTGACAGATGAGTTTCTGTGCTGGTCGTTTGTGTTGGTAGGTCCAAGCTAAATCCAGAAGTGCTTGACCATGTCCCTGACTTTGATATCCCTGGATACACTGCATACAGGCTGTTCGTAGGTCAGAAAATCCAAATTCCACAGATGCACACAGTAGTCCTGAAAACAAAGCAAGGATATATTGTAAGGTGTCTGATATGTTATCATCGTTAGAGTGAATATGTGGTCAAATATGTTTTATATTGATTTGCCATCCTGATTTTGTAGTTTGTTCCTACTTTTGCTTTCAAATGAATATTCCCGTCAAGCACGGAGCACTTACCTATCACATTATTGAAATCGAGGTTAGCTTTCCCCGAGTGGACGAATTTAAGGAATGTTTCAAAATCCCTAGTCTGGTAATCAGGAATGGTGATGGTAAGTTTCCGTGAAAAAGGTGAGTGTTTGATCGTCTTGCTCTTTTTGGTTTTGTCTTGCTCCAAGGAGGACTGCTTCTGGTGTTGGAGCAGCAGCTGATATAAGTACCTGGACAAAGCAAAGAAGAAACTCAAGAATATACTCCATGAATAAATGAACCGTGAAAACAAGTAGTATGAAAGTTAAATATGCCCACTTGCAATAGTTATGATTTCTGGATAAATTTGATTGCTTTGGAAAGTATCTCACCTGCTACGTGTAGCCATTATGGCCTTGACTCCATGAAAAGGAGCCTTCTCCTTCCCAACGAGAAAGGTGACGTCACACATCTCTGGCATGTTGAGGATGAGGGAGAGGCTATCTTGTAAGTCTCCTGTACTTCTGAGCGTCATGACGTCATCCCGATTGGAGGATTGCGAGGTGTGGGAGCGGCCGTTGAGTGGAATTGGAGCAGTTTTGGTACTAGATCCTGATATGGAGGCTGTGCTCGCATCTTCATCAGAGGAGTAGTCGCTTGAGTCATACCCTGACGATGTACCTTCAGCTGGAATAAGAAAATAAATCATGTATGGAATGATGGTCAATTTAGTGCAAATATCAGTTTCGCGGACTATTGTTTAGTGAACAGAAGTGTTTCCTTAAATGATACATTAGCGAAGAACACAATAATTCGTGTTGTGATCAAAGTTGTTAATGCAAGTTTCTTACCATCTGCGTCATCCCCACTGTGATCAAAAGAGTCCAAAGTCGAAATGTCCAAAAGACAAACTCGGGAATCGTAACGGTTCATGTTATTTGTTTATACGATCTAATTTAAAATGAAAGAGAGAAATACTATTGGCAAAACTCAACGAAACTACGGTGCGATGTTAGTGTCTCGATGCAATGTTTCCCCAACTGGAATGCCTTCTGCTCCTACCAGAGCAGTTTTATACTTTGCATATCACAAAACAAATGACAGCTTCATTACTGCAACTACATGTCACAATTAAATCAATGTTGACACGCAGGCTTCAGCTTAGCACTTGTTGCTTAGAGGCGCGTGCTGAAGTTGTGAATGAGTTGACATCACGTGAACAATCTGGCGGTAATTGTTGCACGGTAATGATCTTTGTTGTCAAAACAACGAGACAGTATAATTAGATTGATAATGTGTTAGGGATGTTTGTTT